CTACTGTAATTCTACTAGGTTTACTTTTTTAAGTGTTTTCTTGTTTTTCTCTAGTAGCTTTTAAAATTCCATCCTTGTGTTGGACTTCTGGGATTTTAATTATGTGTCACAGAGAGGTTCTTTTTTGAGTGTGGCTATTTGGGTTTCTATGTGCCTCATTTACCAATGTATTGAATTCTTTTCCTAACATGGACAATTTTCTGCTGTGATGTCTATAAACAGATTTTTTACAGCATTTGTGCTGTCTTCTAATTTTTAATTCCTATCAATCTTAGGATAGTCTTCTTTGAGTCATCTAGCAGCTTTTGATCCATTTCCCATGATCTCTTGTTAAGGTATCTCTATATGAGCTCCTGCATCAGTTCTATTTTCTACTTGTAATACTCTCCTCACATTGGTTGCTTCTGTTGCCCATACTTTCGGTACAATTTTTTATATTCTGAATTTCTGTTTGGTATCTTTTTGTAGGCTCTTAATTCTTTACTTAACTGGTCATTTGTATTTTGTATCATTTTGTTTACCTCAGCTAGCTTATAGTTTCTATATTCTTTAAGCATGGTGATCATTTTATCAGTTTAGTCCATTATCTTTTTAATTGTATTGGGTTTTTTTTGGTTTTTCTCTTCTTTCCCTTCATATATTTCAGCCATTTTGTTTTTCTATTTCCTTCCTATCACTGGCCTTTGGGTCAGCTTTGGGAAGGTTTTTGCCTTGTCTTTTTTTTTTTTTTTTCCTCTTTCTTTTGTGCTGAGGGTTGGGGATCAATTAGAGAAGAAAGATTCTTGCTTTAGTTAGTTCCTGTTTCCTGGTGATGGGATCTTGGTTTTGGTTGCTTTTTGGTATTGTTCCACCTATTCAGTCTAGTCAGTTTAATTGGATTAGACCATGTTGCTGTGTTGCAAGGAGAGACTCCTTACCAGTTATTTCAACACCAACAGATCCAACCAAACATCAGTCATGAACATTAAAACATGTCTCGAGCCCTTTAACAATGACCCATAACATCTGTAATATGCTACTACTAACAAGTAGTTTGGGATGGGTCAGTAGAAGGAAAAAAGAGAAAAGGGAAGGAGGATAATAAAAAAAAAGAAGAAAAAGAGAAAAAAAATAACAGATGAGAAAGAGGGGAGCTCAAACTCTGGTGATACTATTTTTATAACTAAAGGGCTGGTGAGGGGAGGTTTGAGAGAATATTTGGGAGAGGGAGAAAGGATGCAGAGGGAGATGAATGTAAGTGGAGATTGAAGGAGGCCATAGGAAAGTCAGAAATTGTTAATATGTTGATAACATTCTTGTGTTTGGATCCTCTATGCAGTTTTGATTAGGATTATTCAAAGCTCTACTTTTCTCCTTTGCACATAATCAGGTACTTCCCATATATTTGCTAGATAAAAGGAAGAAAGGAAAAGAGGAAAGATAAAGGAATAAGAAAGAAAGGAGTAAAAAAAGGCAACAACCTCTCCCCGCCAAAACCCCACACAGTGCAAAAACAGAAAATTAAATTGTCCTCACAGTCTTATTTATATTGCAGTCTGAATCCAGCCAGTGAGCTCTTCCCCCCACTTTCACAAGTGGGGAAGGTTTGACTTGTAGGGGGCTCTGGATGGATTTCTGGGTCTGTTTTCTGCACCCCCACCCTCCTTAGAATGTTGCTGTGGCCACCACCTGCTTTTTTTCCCTCACTTAATCAGTCTGCTGCCCACTTGTGCAGGTCTCCAAGCTAGTCCTCCCCTATGATTTGTTGAGTTGCCTGCCTGTGACTGAGAAGGCTTCTTGGTGATCCTCATCCTGCTTTCCTGGTGCAAACCACGCTCTGGGTGTAACTAACTGGAACCCTTTGCCTTTGTTTTAAGGTCAGAATCACTAAGTTGTAGCGTGCGGTGTGATTTGCTCTGCACCCAGTTTTCTGCCAGTTTTGCATAGATCATCTCAATATCTGTTCTCTTCGCTGCATGAAAAACCCTGCAGCTGTTTGTGTTCTCCCTCCACAAGGTTTCTAATAACCACATTGCAGGATGCCCTCTGGTCAAGGCACCTCTCTCAGGCTTTCTGTATGCTTCCGTCTTTGCCTTCCACAAAACATCACTCTTCAGCCTGTAAGCTTATTGATGCTGTAGAACCCACCATGCTCAGAAACCCCCAGCTCACCAACCCCAGCTTGGGGCTCCTGCACAGGCACCTGCGGGTGAGCAGTGGGCAGTGAGCAGGATATCCCACAAGCACAGCTCTCCTGGTAAGTGGGGGAAGAATGAGTGAGTTCCTATCTGGGGCCAATCTGTCCATTTATGTCTCCAGGGTCTCTTCACAGTCGCTGCCCACTCAGTAGCCCCTTTAACCATGGCTTTCTCTGCACTTAAATCTAGGTCCTTGATAAGGATCATGTGCATGTTGTCAGCTTTCCCAGGGCCTTTGAGTGTTTTCTCAGATACTAAAAGGCTTTTTAGTCTCTAGTGCCCAGATCTGAGAATATCTCATTCACTGTGTTTGTTTTCTCATTGTGGCAGGTAGGAAGGTTAAGAGTCTATTCCAGCAATGTGACCTCTGCTGTTGTGCAGGATTTCTCTCTCATGGCATTAGATCCTCTCCCAAGGTGGCCTGTGTGCCAGTCTTGGGGTGTAAGGGGTGGTTCAGATCAGGGATGATCTAGCTTTCCTTCTAAACAATCCGTCCCATGCTAGATTCAGGTCTGGTTGGATGTCTCTTACCCTTCCTGTGGACTACTTTCTTAGCCCCCTATTTCTGTGTAGTACCTATTTTTTTCTGGAGCACATCTTTGGAACCTCTCACATGCACTGCTGCCCCTAGACAGCCATCTCTTTCACCCTTGTGTTTTATATTATTGAGTTCTAGGAGTTATTTTATAGTCTCAATACAAGCTTTTATCCAATGTATGTTTTATAAATATTTTGTTTTCTTTATGGTTTCTTTTGAGCAGAAGTTTTTAATTTTTGGTTAGGTCTACTTACCAGTTCTTTATTTGTTGATTATTGCTATCTGTGCCCTCTAAAAACTTTTGCATACCAAGTTATGAAGATAATGTTTAGTTATTTTCTAGATTATTTAATTTTGGAGTATAGGATGAGATAGGCATCAGGATTTATTCTTTATGAGGACTTCCAGTTGTAAATATTCCACTTGTTGAAATACTTTTCTTTGCTCACCAAATTGCTTTGGCAGTTCAACTATTGAAAGTAAAATGACTACAGTATATTTGAGGGTGTAACGAGCTCTCTCTGCCCTATTTGTCAGTTCTTATGCCAGTATCACACTATGTTGATGACTCTTAATTTGTTTTATCTTTTTCCAACTTTCAGTTTTGAGTTTTTTTAAAGAATATATTGGCCAATCTAGGTTTTTTTGGTATTTCATATAACTTATAGAATCAGTTTATCAGTTCTATAATGAAAAAGCTCTTGAGGCTAATTCAGTTTTAAGTAGTATAGATCTCAATATAATTTATTTTTTAAAT